AAAGTCTTAGGGGGAGAGCAAAATCAGCTATCCAGGGAATCCAACCCTTACCGCAAAATTATGGCTGGATAATCAAAACCTTGAAGGAAACTTACTGCGACTATTCAACCAACAGGTCGCAAATTGTCCAGAAACTTGTGGGCATGAAGGAAGCAACAAATTTTGCTGATAGCTGCCTATTTACATTTGAACAAATACAAGTTTTGATTAACCAGATGGTCTCCGCTGGTTATGATGTTCGGAATACTTGTGACCCAATGTGGTCAGAGACTATTCTGACCAAATTCCCACAGGAGATTGTTAAGTCTGTGCTCATATCAGGCAAGACGCAATGCAATCAAACAATCGAGAATCTCATGGGTCAAATAAAGAAAGAGATTACCGCCAAGGCCTACGTCGAAAACAGACTCGGTCATAAAATCAACAATAAGGTCAGCACTCCAAAGGATAAGTATATCACTCAGCGACCAAATTACGAAGGGTGTCTGTTTTGCCAGAAAGACGGCCATTTGTCAATGACATGCAGATCAGTAACAGACAAAGCAATCCGTAGAAAGTTTCTCAAAGACCAAAATAGGTGTTGGAAATGTTGCTCATCGAACCACAACAGTTTCGATTGCCAGAAACCGGACTGCGCACAATGTGGACAAAAACACCACGTAAGTGTATGTTATAAAAATGATACAAGTACTAGTGGAAACACTGGTAGAAATTCAAACAGACCGTGGAATCCGCCACAAAGACCTAGTCAGAGAGGACAAAACCATCAGAGACCAAATGGTCAAAGAAATACTGAGAACCGTAATGAGGACAGGAGATTTATTGCGAACAACACCCAAACATGGGCCGAAAACAAGCAAGGTGATAAATCCGCCTCTTCCCAGCTGATTTTAATGACAGCTGAGGGTAACATCTGGAATCTGAGGGTAACATCTGGAATCACAGGAAGAACGAGTATGAAAAAGTGCTGTTTTTCTTCGATTCAGGAGCACAGAAGACAGTGATACAAGAAGTCTCTGGCCACAACTCTAGGACTTCCGAAGCAAACAACAGAAATATGCACAATGTCCGGCATTGGCGGCCATATCGAAAAATTCGAAAGCCACACTGTACAGGTCAAAATTGGAACGGCTTTCGGTGAAGAAATGGAACTCAGTTTCCAAACCAAGCCAGTTCTAACCAACGGATTCCCTAGCGTTAGGCTGGCTCCATCAGATATAACATTCTTAAAAGCAAACAAAATATGCCTCGCTAACTCAAAAATTCGCGGGGAACATCAAATTCCGCACGTCCTCGTTGGACTAGACTATTTTCACGAACTGGTGACGAGTCCGAACCATGGTATAAGAACTCCTACGGGACTACATATATCGAATACCATCTTTGGGCCTACCATATATGGCAAAGGAACCATTCCTTCAGAAACCACAGAAAGTCCCGTATTTTACGGTCTGACGGCAGTCATCGAACCAAGCGAAAAAGAACTTCTCCAAAAAATGTTTGAATTAGAAGGACTTGGAATTTCAAGCGAAGAATACCAGCCAGACGAAAAGGTCTACCGATATCTAGAACAGTACTCGAAGAGAATATCCTTTGAAAACGGTTATATAACAGCCCCATTCCCACTAAAAGAAAACATTACTGAATTGGAAGACAACTACTCCATAGCGATCCGAAGACTGGAATCGCTCCAAAACTCGCTTTTGCAACACCCAGAACAACGCTCGTGGTACTGCAAAATACTTCACAAATACCATCAGGAAGGAATGATAGAAACATTCTCCTTCTCCGAAAAAGACGCCGTGGGGACGTACTATATGCCTCATTCCGGAGTATGGAAACCAGCAAAAAAGACACCGCTGCGAATAGTATTCGACGCATCTTCTAAGAGAAAAGGGAAACTCTCTCTTAATGACGCTATCCACAAAGGAGAAGCATTTGTAAATAAAATACATGATATTTTGCTGTCATCTAGAAGTAGCAAAATTATATTAATGTGCGACATAGAGGCAGCTTTCACGCAAATCCGTTTGCTAAAATCTCACAAAGACCTGTGCAGATTTTTGTGGCTTAAAAACGTAAGCCTACCCCCTACCAAAGATAACCTTATTCAGTATCGGTTCAAGAGACTCCCATTCGGAGTCACCGCCTCTCCTAGTGTTCTGAACATGGCTCTTTCGGCATTTCTGAGCAGTCAAAACACAGAATTAGCCGACGAAATCGCTCGTAACCTGTATGTGGACAATATCCTACTACAAGCCGAATCGCCAGAAGAAGCCGTGCAAAAATATTACAAGTCAAAGCAACTATTCGCTCGAATCGGCATGAATCTTAGAGAGTACATCTCAAGTTCTAAAGAAGTTAATCAGCGTATTCCAAAAGAGGATAGACTGGAATCAAACTGCCTAAAAGTGCTCGGTGTTGAATACAAGCTAGAAAATGACGCCTTTCAAGTCACTACAAACTTTCGAAAGTTTGAGACATTAACAAAAAAAGATGTTGTGAGCCAAATTAATTCCGTTTACGATCCCATTGGGTTAGCCAGCCCTCTACTAGTTCATTTAAAAGCAACGATGAGGGAAATATTCGATTCAGGAATTGACTGGAAAACGAATCTTGATCTCAAAATGGTACAAAAATGGAATCAATTATGTAGCGCCGTTAATGGAGCAATTATATCATTGCCTCGACCTTTCAATCCAGGTGCGAAGATACGCCTGTGGGCATTCGCAGATGCAAGTAACGCTGCAATCGCGACCTGTGCCTACGGGCAAAACGTCCTCTCAAGGTCAATATCTAGCCTAATTAGTGGAAAAACACGATTGACACCAAGAAAATGTCATCAAACAATTCCGAGGTTAGAACTTATCGGACTATTAATGGCAATGCGCCTTACTAACTCGATTGTTTCAAACGTCGGCAAGTCACATATTACAGTTGATTCAATATCAGTAGTGACGGATAGTGAAATCGCATTATGGTGGTTGAAATCTACAAAAAAATTGCCGCTTTTCGTTGCTAATACGCGAGAGCGGATCCTCAAAATCAAAACAGCCATAGAAGCAAAAGGAATCTCCTTGTCATTCTTTCACGTAATCACCTCTCATAACCCTGCAGATGCCGGCACAAGAGGTTTAAGCGCTCAAAATATCAACAACAGCGACTGGGTACGTGGTCCAAAATGGCTTGAAGCAAATCCTGCCACATGGCCAATAAAATCTATAGAATATATCACCGAGACACCTTCAGAAAGTGATGACAACCAAGTAACGCCAAAAATAAACATCTTGGCACAAACCAGCGAAAATTCGCCTCAACTCATCGATCTGACAAGATTTTCGACTTTGCCAAAAGTGCATCGAGTAGTTGCCATAGTTAATAAAACGCTATCTAATTGGGCTTCACTCACGAATAAAAACCGTAGCACAAAGATCGAGTTACTAAATGTCTCGAAATTCAGCTCCGCCAAAGAGATATCGTCCACAGAAATCGAATTGGCGGAAAGGATTGTCCTTCTACAAGAACAACGCCATGAAGATATCAAAACGTTACAAAAACGATTCACTGACAAAAATCTTATTCGAGACGAAAATGGTTTAATTCAGGCATCAATCGCGTTTACAAAACGCAGCGATTCCTCGAGATACCAAATCGCCTATTTATGTTCCTACAAAATCAGAAGCTCATTCGCTTGATTGTGCAGCAAATCCACATAGAAAACGCTCATTGTGGAAAGGAACATACCCTCACAATCGCACGGCAACGATTCTGGATACCGCGTCCTTCAGATGCCTTCAGAAAATTTCTCAAAAATTGCACAACATGCAAGAGATACCAAGGACTACCATTAGGTGCTCCAGCAATGCCAAGTTTACCCCAAGACCGAGTAATCGTGTCTAAACCGTTCGAAAATACTGGATGTGACTTTATAGGGACCATTCACGTCAAAAACTCAAGATAAAATGTACGTATGCTTGTACACATGCCTCACATCACGTGCAGTTCACCTCGAATTGGTAGAAAACTTATCAACAGGTGCATTTCTTGAACAGCTTCATACGATTCATATCAAGACGAGGCGTTCCAAGAATTATACGCACAGATTGTGGAACAAATTTCAAGCATGGCGAACAGATTATAGCCACCATGTTTGAAAATAATGAACTAACAGGACATTCCCTAATGTCTTACTGCGCTTCAAAGCGGATAAAATGGTTATTCAACCCACCAGCTGCGCCTTGGATGGGCGGCGTATGGGAAAGATTAGTAGCCTCAGTTAAAAAGGCGCTAAACAAATCCATAGGACGTAAAAGGTTAACTTTTGTAGAAATGTCTACAGTTCTTACAAGAATCGAGGCCATTCTCAATACAAGGCCACTTACAAAATTGAATTCAGACGATATCACAGAAATTCCTCTTCGTCCCATAGATTTTCTACAAGGGAACCTTAAATTTTCCCTCCCGGAAGGAGAAAACTATACAGGCAATGACGATCCTACGTATGACCCAGAATTCATCCAGACCAGGGAACAAGCCATGGAAGCTATTCGATTCTCTGAAACTATAGCAAACAAATTCTGGGAATGTTGGAAATCAGAGTACCTAGTATCTCTGAGGGAAATGCAAAACAACAACTTAAACAACCGAGACATCTGCAGCGAACGTACCCTGAAATCGGTGAGGTAGTATTGATTGAACAGGACCTAATCCCAAGAGGAAGTTGGCCTTACGGCAAAATCACAGAAATCATCACCTCGTCCGACGGTCTGATTAGATCGGCAAAGATACTAATGCCAAATCAAAACATCATTCATAGACCTCTAAACAAAGATCTATCCCTTAGAAATTCGAGTGAAGTAAAAGAACCTATCACTAACGAAATCGAGGAAAATAGCAACTCCGAAGACGCAATTCCAGACGAAAATTGCGAGGAGATAGACGCTACAAGAAGGATGCTACCTCGCAATTCAAAAACGCGGGCCTATGATTTCTTCAGGAGCATGGAATGCAGTGTACAGATCTCTAAAACGGCATTTCCGGCGAGGTCAGCACTACTGTTCCTCACAGTTCTGACCTTAGCTTCCACCTTCTCTAGCAAGCAAGAACTCATCCATAATATCATGCGCAAAAGGAATCGTTCATATACCACCAATGAACGGCTGGTTTGAGGTTTGCATCGGCACCGAAGTGCCAACCGTTAACCAACACAACCCGACCAACCAAGTACATCTTACCAATCTTGCCCACCGAGCAGGGAGTGAACGTACGACTACGAACTCTCAAAAATGAAGTAGTACACGAACAATCAAAAATATGTGATAGGCCAAAATTTTGTGACCATCAGTATTTCTTGTCAAAAAGCCTACTGGGAAATCCACATTGTTGGCCAATTGGAGCCATAGCTACATCGGCTATCCTGATTTATTTGATCATTGCCGCCCTTATGGGGATTGCGTGGGCAATAGTCAAAATCAAAAGAAAGGCTGAATCGAGCACCCCAAAACTCGACAAGAAGGTGGAACGCAGTGAACCATCTGCCCCAACTTGCAGCTTTGAATTAGCACCACTACCATGCTCAACACTCATGGTGGTGTGCGCAATATTTCTTATGATGTCGCCCATTAATGCGTGCCAACACGGAGTTATGCGACACTCCGCTGAACAAGTATGCAATGAACTAAATCACTGCCATCTTGAATACAGCAGGGAGCTGCTGTTTAACAAGCTACAATCCGAGCTCTGCATAGAAATAGTGCACTCGAATAAGACGATAGGAGTAGCAAAAATCACTAAGAAAACGGTGAATTTCAAGTGCACCAAAAATATCGAATTTTTCACAAGGCCTACAAAATTGCAAATCTATCAGGTGAAAAGATGCGCCCTAGCGGGATCATGCACCACTGAGAAGTGCGAAACTATAAGCCCAAACGAAACCATTTCGGAACTCAAACGGGTAGCGAAGTATCCTGGATATTCCGGGTGCTTGAACAGCTGTGGCGGAATACTGTGCGGATGTGGGCTATCACTACCAGCCTGCTGGTTTTACAGAATAGTTCACAAACCCATATCTCAGCGAGTCTTTGAAATCATTCAATGTCCGCACTGGACTCCCACCATCACGCTCGAAGATTGAAATTACACTATCAAATAACACACAGAAAACTGTGCATTCGCTCACACCATACATTACTGAAAAATCTGAACAGTTTCAACTTCACAGTACTATCGGTTCCAAAAACCGTCGCATTACATTGCAAACAAACGATTTGCATTGAACAGTAATGCATCTTATATCTTACCACCCGATTTCCAAATCCCAGTTGCGTGCAGTAGCTACGTTCAAGCGCAAAACGATTTTTCGACGTGCACCAATCAGATACGGTGCAATTGCGGAAATTCGGTGCATAACTGCCAATGTCCAGACGACAGTATTCGCAAACTACGTGATCACACACAGCACACGTTACCCCTTAAAACACCGTATGCAGAAATATTTGTAAACGACCAAGATATCTTTGCCTCTACCTATGAGGAAGAAATTGTCCTAAGAATCGAGTCCACACTACTCCAGGAGTCCACAGAGTTAGTAGTAAACCAAGAATGCGGGTTTCAAGATCACTGAATTAACAGGATGCTATGACTGCGAACATGGAGCGCATTTCACAGCCTATTTGCAAGTCGCCATCAAATGCTACAGTAACAGTGACATGCGAATCACAACAATTTTTAGTGAAATGTGGCCCATCAAATGAGAGCAACGTCATTATTTTGAATTTCGAGCATCCCATTGTTCATGAGCAAGTGCAATGCTCACTGTTCGGAAAACCCAACTAAGTTTCTGCTAACCGGAACGCTATTCTATCATATAGCAGAGGGGCAACACTCCATTTTTGACAAGAAAACACATGGAGTTCCTATGAAACATCAATGGTTCACTGATGTTTCCTTGCCAAATATTGACCCGCTACTTAAAACTATCAAAAACCACTATAAATTAGTATGGGAGCTCTCATTTCAACAATTTTGCTCACTGTGCTCACTTATTTGATGGGCCCCATAATAATACTGAGTGCGATGAAGTTCATCTACTTAATCTTGCTAAAAATAGTCGATATCGGGTACAAAATGCTTTGCTACATGCTTAAACTAGTTCGCAATCAACGAAAATTGAACGCGACAAATGAAAATGCAACTGAAAGAGTACAAAATTGAAACAAAAGCAAGCAAAACAGTAATTAGCCGCTACGTCGGCAATGTACATAGATATGTAATAATTGACCTTGTATATTACAGCCTATTAACACCATACTACAATGTGTCCTTAGGCGTAGCCTCATTAGTAATAGTGCCTGCGCTCAGCAATACCCTCGGGTAGTTTCGCTATTACAATCAATGTTCGTGAAAAGAAATACGATGATGCTCAAAAGACGAATGATAAGAAAGTGTATCCGAGGGTGCAAGCATTCCGTATAAAAGAAGGGGTAGTCTGAGCACCTCAGTTCAACATGTCGTTCTCTTCTGAAATGCAAGCAGCCATCGACGATCTCGACAGGTGCGACGCTGCCACGATACTGCACAACCTAATGCCGATGATGAGAGCCATGGATGCGAAGCTTAATCAACTATTAGAACGGACTGCACCGAAATCCTCCTGTGCGTTCTGCACAGTTGAGGAAAACAAGGACAATCACTACACGGCTCGCTGTAGCCGATTCTCCGATGCGGTGGCACGGACGGCTCAGGCATCACGGCTCCATCTCTGCCTAAGGTGCCTGAAGCCAGCGCATGTGGAGGAATGCGGGATAAAGTGTGGGAATTGTGGCCTTGACCACAACTCCTTCCTTTGTTCCCGCAGGAGAACACATGCGCAACCACCTAAAAGGCCTCGCCACTGAGGCGTCACCCCCCCCCATCGTCTTGCAGCCGCACGTTCTGTTCTACTTCTTATGGTATTCTGTTCTATATTCTTCGAGCAGCATCAATGGACAGCAACTGGTCAACATCTTCAAGTCAACGTCGCCAACTTCGCAACCAATGGTCAACAACTCGCAACCAACTCCGCACAATGAAGCCCGACTGCGCCGAGGATATGGCCACTTGTGATCTATTCTTAACTTTCTGTGTTGTACTGTACACTAACTGTTGTCACCCATATGATGTTCATTTTCCTTGTGGCGGCGGAATGTCATCGTTCCGATGACCTCTTCCCCCCGCCGCCCCGCCTCCAAGTCTTCGAGGCGGGGACCTCCGTTTAACTCGCCACTCGTCTTATTACTGGCAAATAAATAGGTTTGCTGATCCGCGTACTGCAACCACTAAACCCACTGAACCATCCTCTACATTTTGGTGCATCTGCCAAAAGTTTTTTTTCCTTCTTTTCCTTCCTACTTCTTCAGTGTGTCTAGGAGTAAAATCTTGGACCTCTAAGAAGTAACTGCTCGTAACAAGAGCACATTCTCAAGCGGAATTTCTAACCGCAAGATCGAATCAGATCGTACCCTCCTGAATTCAAAGGAGAAGAGAGCAAGTGCTTCCCGTATTCAATACTTGGGGCCAACTCTTTCGCGAAAAAAGCGAATTACCTCCATCTAGGAGAAGAAAGGAACCGTTCCCGTATTCATTACTTGGAACCACCTTTTTTGCAAATAAAAAGCGAAACAACGCTCAATTTGAACAAATAGCCTCCGTAAAAAGGAACCTAAGGCTACAAGTTGTGGGAGTCAAAACCTAAGAAATTCGAAGAAGATCAATTTATAATGGCTCTTCATTTCTATAAAACACCAATCGTACTGAGCGCAACGACGCTAAAAAATCTGACAGCCCGTTACAAGGGTTACACCGTCGCAATAGAGTACACAACCGCAGACGAGGAAAATTACGACAAATGTCGTTCCACTGTGGCGCTATTGGAGAGCGGAATCAGGCAAATCAGGGAGGGCAGAGAAAACCTCCAAAAATTATACAACGAGATAAGAGACGAGTATAGAAATGCCAGAAATAAGTCGGAGAAAAAAGATATAATGGTCGAAATTGAACAAATTGAAGAAGATTCTCAGTTACAGCAAGCAATTGCTGATGCAAGTGATCTGATATTTATGCTTACAGCTAGATTAGACGAGTCAAGATGCGCGTATAGCAGAATAGGCATAAAACTCGGTTACATCACTCAACCCTCCAGCAGAACAGAACCAACACCGCTCGAATCGGAGTTCCAAAACGGTCAAGAGGAAGATTCTGAGCAGAACTCCCATCCAATAAATGGTCATAATTCACTTTCCACTGATCATGATGAAAGAGATGTCCGTCAATAATCAGACGAGTGGCCTACTACGGCGTTCAATTAAGCCTCCACAAGCATCCTTGCCCAAATTTTTTGGAAAACCGGAGGAATTTCCCGAATTGAATTACTGCGATGCTCTCGAGCGCATTTTCTAGTTGCTATTAAAAACAAGACTCAGAGCTCATCGAGAAGAATCCATTCTCTGAGGAAAGTTCTTAGGAGAGTCAAAACTCAGCTATCCAGGATCCAACGCCTACCTGGCTTTTCGATAATTACGCTGGATAATTATGAAACCTTTGAAGAAAACTACTTGGCGACTATTCAACAAACAGTCCAAATTCGTCCTAGCAAAATGCTTGTGGCTGAAGGAAGCAATTTGTTTTTTACAATTCTTGCTTTGATAGCTGCCTCATGATTACTTAGTTTGAACAAATACAAGTTTTGATTAACCAGATGGTTTCCGCTGGTTATGATGTTCGGAATACTTGTGACCCAATGTGGTCAGAGACTATTCTGACCAAATTCCCACAGGAGATTGTTAAGTCTGTGCTCATATCAGGCAAGACGCAATGCAATCAAACAATCGAGAATCTCATGGGTCAAATAAAGAAAGAGATTACCGCCAAGGCCTACGTCGAAAACAGACTCGGTCATAAAATCAACAATAAGGTCAGCACTCCAAAGGATAAGTATATCACTCAGCGACCAAATTACGAAGGGTCTGTTTTGCCAGAAAGACGGCCATTTGTCAATGACATGCAGATCAGTAACAGACAAAGCAATCCGTAGAAAGTTCCTCAAAGACCAAAATAGGTGTTGGAAATGTTGCTCATCGAACCACAACAGTTTCGATTGCCAGAAACCGGACTGCGCACAATGTGGACAAAAACACCACGTAAGTGTATGTTATAAAAATGATACAAGTACTAGTGGAAACACTGGTAGAAATTCAAACAGACCGTGGAATCCGCCACAAAGACCTAGTCAGAGAGGACAAAACCATCAGAGACCAAATGGTCAAAGAAATACTGAGAACCGTAATGAGGACAGGAGATTTATTGCGAACAACACCCAAACATGGGCCGAAAACAAGCAAGGTGATAAATCCGCCTCTTCCCAGCTGATTTTAATGACAGCTGAGGGTAACATCTGGAATCACAGGAAAGAACGAGTATGAAAAAGTGCTGTTTTTCTTCGATTCAGGAGCACAGAAGACAGTGATACAAGAGTCTCTGGCCACAACTCTAGGACTTCCGAAGCAAACAACAGAAATATGCACAATGTCCGGCATTGGTGGCCATATCGAAAAATTCGAAAGCCACACTGTACAGGTCAAAATTGGAACGGCTTTCGGTGAAGAAATGGAACTCAGTTTCCAAACCAAGCCAGTTCTAACCAACGGATTCCCTAGCGTTAGGCTGGCTCCATCAGATATAACATTCTTAAAAGCAAACAAAATATGCCTCGCTAACTCAAAAATTCGCGGGGAACATCAAATTCCGCACGTCCTCGTTGGACTAGACTATTTTCATGAACTAGTGACAAGTCCAAATCATGGTATAAGAACTCCTACGGGACTACATATATCGAATACCATCTTTGGGCCTACCATATATGGCAAAGGAACCATTCCTTCAGAAACCACAGAAAGTCCCGTATTGTTACGGTCTGACGGCAGTCATCGAACCAAGTGAAAAAGAACTTCTCCAAAAAATGTTTGAATTAGAAGGACTTGGAATTTCAAGCGAAGAATACCAGCCAGACGAAAAAGTCTACAGATATCTAGAACAGTACTCGAAGAGAATATCCTTTCGAACAACGGTTCATATAACGGCCCCATTTCCACTAAAAGAAAACATTACTGAATTGGAAGACAACTACTCCATAGCGATCCGAAGACTGGAATCGCTTCAAAACTCTCTTTTGCAACACCCAGAAGCAACGCTCGTGGTACTGCAAAATACTTCACAAATACCATCAAGAAGGAATGATAGAAACATTCTCCTTCTCCGAAAAAGACGCTGTGGGGACGTACTATATGCCTCATTCCGGAGTATGGAAACCAGCAAAAAAGACACCGCTGCGAATAGTATTCGACGCATCTTCTAAGAGAAAAGGGAAACTCTCTCTTAATGACGTTATCCACAAAGGAGAAGCATTTGTAAATAAAATACATGATATTTTGCTGTCATCTAGAAGTAGCAAAATTATATTAATGTGCGACATAGAGGCAGCTTTCACGCAAATCCGTTTGCTAAAATCTCACAAAGACTTGTGCAGATTTTGTGGCTTAAAAACGTAAGCCTACCCCCTACCAAAGATAACCTTATTCAGTATCGGTT